TCTTTGTGAGTCTTGCTAGTGGTTTATCTATCTTATTTTTTTTCTCGAAGCACCAGCTCTTGGTTTCATTGATCTTTTGAATTTTTTGGGGGGTTTCCATGTTGTTGATTTCTGCTCTAAGTTTTATGATCTCTTTCATTTTGTCTGATTTGGGCTCCTTTTGTTGGTCCTTTTCTAAGATCTTGAACTGTGAAGTCAGGTTGTTTATGTGGGCCCTTTCTTCCTTCCTGAGAAATTCTTGCAGAGCTATAAATTTTCCCCTTAACATGGCTTTAGCCATGTCCCATAGGTTCTGGTAGCTTGTGTCTTCATTCTCATTTGCTTCTAGGTATCTTTTGATTTCGTCCTTGACTTCCTTCCTGACCCACTCGTTCAATGTTGAGTTGTTTAATTTCCAGGCGTTTGATTTGGTTCTTTGTGTCTGTGTGTGATTTTCATCAATCTTCAGTGCATAGTGGTCTGAAAAAAATTGTTGATACTATTTCTATCTTCCTGATTCTGTTGAGGTATGTTTTGTGGACTAGCATGTGGTCTATTTTGGAAAATGTTCTGCGTGCACTGGAGAAGAATGTGTATTCTTTCTTTTTGGGGTGTAAAGTCATTTACAGGTCTATTAAGTCCTCTCTATTCTATTTCTCCTTCAAAGCCATTGTTTCCTTGCTGATTTTTGTTCTTGTTGATCTATCCAGAGGTGATAATGTGATGTTGAAGATTCTGGCTACTACTGTGTTGATAGCAATGTCCTCCTTAAAATCTGTTAGCAGTTGTTTTAAATATTTAGCTGTTCCCTCATTAGGTGTGTATACATTTAAGAGTGTGATTTCTTCCTGTTGTACATATCCCTTGATGAATAGAAAATGACCTTCACTGTCCCTTATAATCTTTTTCAACCTGAAGTGTATGTTGTCGGAAACTAGTATGGCCACACCAGCTGTTTTGAGGGAGCTGTTTGCTTGCAGGATTGTTTCTATCCTTTAACTTTGAGTCTGTGTTTGCTCTGACTGTTCAGAGTTTCTTGTAGGCAGCAGAATGTTGGGTTCTGTCTCTGAATCCATTTTGCCACTCTGTGTCTCTTAATTGGTGAATTTAGACCATTGACATTGAGAGAGATTATTGTTGTGGGATTTTGTGTCATCTTTCTGTAAGTGTTTGTTGTGCTTGTAGGGTTTGTCTTGTCTTATAGTAGCCCCTTTAGCCCTTATTTTAGGTTTGGTTTTGAGTCTGTGAAGTTCCTGAGCTGCTGTTTATCTAGAAAATAGTGTACTGTTCCTTCGATTTTGAGTGAGAGCTTAGCTGGATAGAGTATTCTTGGTGAACCATTCATTTCAGTGAGTTTTTTCCACTATATCCCGCCATTACCTTTGGGCTTGGAGGGTTTCCTCTGATAGGTCTAACCTAAGGGGTGCTCCTTTGTATGTGATTTCCTTCTTTGACCTTGCTGCTTGCAGTATTGTATCTCTATTGGCAGCATCGATCATTCTAACTATGATATGTCTTGGAGTGTTTTTGTTAGGGTCCCTTTTAGCTGGCACCCTCTGGGCTCCTTGAATGTGAATGGCTGCATTGTCGAGCTCTAGGAATTTTTTAGCAATGATTTGTTTAACCGTGGCTTTTTCATTGGGATTGTTTCTCTGACCTTCTGGTACACCAATGATTCTAATATTGTTCCTCTTGAAATCATCTACTAGGACTCTGATTTACTCTAGAGCTATTTTGAGGTCTCTTACCATTGTTTGTTGTTGCCTGTTGGCTTGGTGCAGCTGATCTTCCAGCTCACTGATTCTGTCTTCAGCTGTGGTCATTCTACTGTTGAGGGCACAGACTGAGTTTTTTATTTCATCTACCGAATCTTTTATTTGTGACATTTCTGTGCATAGCTTTCCAATTTCTGCTCTCATTTCTTCCTGTATTTTCTCGATTGTTTCTCTCATGTCCTCCTTCAATTTACTGAATATCTGTCTCACGGTTTCATTAAGTTCATTGAACATCTTCATTACTTCATATCTGAATTATTTCTCAGAGAGGTCCCTTAGGTGAGTAGCACCTATTGAGGCTTCTGGACTCTTTTCATCATTCTCCCCTCGTGGTGGGGATTTGTGTTGTTTCTTCATGTTGGTGTGGAGGTATGGACACTGAGATGTTACACAAGATTGCTGGGTATGAGTAAATTATCTGCAGCCCAAATTAGGCCACGCCCACTTCTACAGAGGCCATGCCCACTTTCGAAGGGGCCATACCCCCTATGGGTAAGTGGTGTGTGGGGGGGTGTGGTTACAACCTGGGGGACAAAGAAGATCGGGCACAGCGTTGGAAATGAACAGGGAGAGGCTCAGGGATGGTGAGCATCCCAGTGTCCTAGAGGATGCCTGGGGTGCATACAGGGAGAAAGCCAAATCCCAGGTTCCAGTACTGACTGACCTGGGGGAGGAAGAAGACCGGGTGCAGCGTTGGGGACAAACAGGAAGAGGGTCAGGGATGGTGATCAACCCAGGGTCCTAGAGGACGCCTGGGGTGCTTAGGTGGAGAAAGCCAAGACCCGGGTTTGAGTACTGACTGACCTGTGGGAAGAAGAAGACCGGGCGCAGTGTTGGGGACAAACAGGAAGAGGCTCAGGATAAATTTTATTTTAATATTACCTTTTTCCCGTTGGTTTTAGGTCACACCTGGTAATGTTCAGAGCTTACTCCTGGTTCTGCATTCAGGAATTACTCCTGATAGTATTCAGGAAACCACATGGGATACTGCAGATAGAACCTAGGTTAACCATGTGCAAGACAAGTAGCTTACCTGCTGTACTATTATTCCAGCCCATCTAATATTACTTTTTGAATTAACTTCTCCATCAAAGAATTCTTCTACTATTTTTATTTGCATTTCACTATCAATAATTTAAGAATAACATAGCTGAGTTGAATCAAGCAACTTAGAGAAAGAATTTCAGTGTCTAAACTAAGATCTCTCGAGGTCTTCTTTTTTTTTTTTTTTTTGTTGGTGGGCGGGGGATGGAATCTGTAGAGCTCAGGAACTCTGAAGGCCCTTCTCAGTAATTCTTAAGCAACAATCACTGATGTAAAGGCATGAAGATATGGTGCTATCCCTGGCAGTGCTTGGAGGCTCCCATGGCTGTGTCCCACAATACTTAGGAGATATGTGGTACCTGAAATTGAACCCAGGTGGGCTGAAAATTGCAGGAAAAGTGTCTCAATTCCTATATTCTCTCTGGTGCTCCTCTAGCTCTTCTTTAAAATCATATTGATTCCTTAGAGCTTTGGGTACACAGTTCTTGCATGTAATTTGTGAAAGTAATTCTTGGACATTTCATGCTTTTTTGGTGCAATCATATTCAAAATTTTAAATTAAATCTTTGCCTTTTATTTCTAGTATACAGAAATGCAATTGTATTTTTACACAGTAAATGATTTTAATTTTTAACTAATTTTTTTATTGAATAACAGTGAGATACACAATTACAAAGTTGTTCATAATTGGTTTCAGTCACATAATGTTCCAACACCCATCCCTTCACCAGTGTACCATTTCCCACCATCAGTAGTTCCAGTCCCCCACCAACTGCTGCTTGCCTCTATGACATGCCCTTCTCTTCTCTTCTCTTCTCTTCTCTTCTCTTCTCTTCTCTTCTCTTCTCTTCTCTTCTCTTCTCTTCTCTTCTCTTCTCTTCTCTTCTCTTCTCTCCTCTCCTCTCCTCTCCTCTCCCCTCCCCTCCCCTCCCCTCCCCTCCCCTCCCCTCCCCTCTCCTCTCCTCTTCCTCTTCTTATCTCTTCTCTCTCTCATTTTGGATCTTTTAGTTTACAATACAGATAATAAATGAAAGTTATCCGAAATATCCCTTTACCTACTTTCAATTTCTGTCCAAATGATCAGTTCCAACTATTATTGCCATATTGGTCTCTTTTCTATACTAGCTGTGCTTCGCCCCCCCACACACTTGTGTGGTAAGCTTCCATCCATTGACAAGTCCTCCTGGCCCCTATTTACCCTGGCTTTGGATATTAATATATATATATATATATATATATATATACACATGACATGCATGACATGCAAATTTGTGAAGCATATATATATATGGGCTGGAGCGATAGCACAGCAGGTAGTGTGTTTGCCTTGCACTTGGCCAACCTGGTCAGCCCAGGTTCGATTCCTGCACCCCTCTCGGAGAGCCCGGCAAGCTACCAAGAGTATCTCGCCCATACGGCAAAACCTGGCAAGCTACCCATGATGTATTCGATATGCCAAACACAGTAACAACAAGTCTCACAATGGAGACATGGAGACGTTACTGGGCCCACTTGAGCAAAACAATGAACGATGGGAGGACAGTGCTGCAGTGCTATATATATATATATATTCATATATATGTATATATATTCATATATATGTATATATATTCATATATATGTATTCATATGTATATATTCATATATATGTATATATATTCATATACATATGTATATATTTACATATATATTCACACAAAGGAATGCTTTTATTCTATATTTGTCTTTCTCTTTCTGACTCATTTTTATCAGCATGCCCATCCATTTATTAGAAAATTTCATGGCTTCATTCTTCCTAATGGCTGTGTAGTATTCCATTTTGTAGATGTACCATTTTTTTTTTTTAACGAGTTGTCTGCTCTCAGCCCTCAGGTTGTTTCCAGATTCTGGCTATTGTGAATAGTGCTGCAATGAACATAGATGTGCAAATAGCATTTCTGCTATGTGTTTTTGGTATATTCCCAGGAGTGGTATTGCTGGGTCAGATGGAAGCTCAATTTCTAACTTTATGAGGAATGCCCATATTGTTTTCCAAATAGCCTGGACCAGCCAACAGTCCCACCAACAGTGAAGAAGAACTTTCTCTCCGAACCCACACTAGCATTACTTGCTCTTGGATTTTTTTTTATGTGTGTCATTCTCTGTGGTGTGAGATGATATCTCATTGTGGTTTTTATTTGCATCTCCCTGATGATTAGTGATAAAAACATGGAATGCTTCACGAATTTGCATGCCATTGTTGCGCAGGGGCCATACTAATCTTCTCTGTATCATTCCAGTTGTATATGTGCTGCAGAAGTGAGCAGTAAATAAAATTGCTTTTTAATATCTTGATTCTAACCTGTGACCTTCCTAATCTCACTTACTTCTGGTATTTTGTGGCTTGTCTAGTTTCATTGATGATTATGTTTTCTGTGAATGAAAACTATTTTACTGAATTCATTTCCACTCTATTTTGTTGTTGTTGTTGCCTTATTGCAGGGGTTACAGTTTCCATCTAGGACCTGTAAATAGAACAGCACAAGAGAAGGGAAGGGAGCATTCCCGTTTGGATTCCACTTACCTTTGATAGGACAGCATTAACTCTTTGGCTATTCAGTGTAATGTTAACCACAGGATTTTATAAACATGATTTGTCCTGTTGCTTCCATGCTAGCTCTTTTTTGCTAATACTTTTTATTATAAGTGGATGTTGAAGTTTTCCAAATGCATTCAGGTCCCCACTCTGCCCCCCACCGCTCACACACTCTAGTTTACAGCCAATAGGGGAGGAGAGAGTGTTTCTGCACATTTTAGGAACTCCAGAAACATTTGTGGAATGAGAAAGGCTGGGCTAAAGATCTCTGAGAGGCAAGGCCACAGCACCATACAGTCATTTCAAAGAACGAGATAAGCCTGAGTACTTGAATGCCTTTTCATGCTAAAGATACTTGGTGTGCCTAAATGATCTCATGCAATTTTCACATTTTATGAAGTATCTTCATTTCAAAAGAGAATTTGGGAAAGAAGAAAAAATTAAGAAGTTTCAGCATGGCTGGGGCATGAGGAGGAAGCCCAGTGTTTTGTTACTACTTAGGAATAAAAAGATAATCATTAAGTTTAGAAAGCCAAAAATGTCTTTACAAAAGACACTGTTTTTATATGAAAATAAGGATAATTCAACACTGTGATAGAATGAAAGAATCAAAGCAGTTGGTGGTCCAGTGACTAGGAATGTTGTTTTTCGAAGAAGCATTGGGCCACTGAGAAATGTAACCCTTGACTGGGCCATGAACAATATCCTTATCATTGAAATCCTGTAAATGTCAGTTATTGGTTTTACATCCCACGAGAGTTGATCTCCAGATGAAGCAAGGGAGATTTAATTACAGCTCCTCATCAAAATAAAATGTTTATCAACCTTGACAAAGCAAAAGTTGAGCTTGATCTGAAAGAAACTTGAAAGTGGAAGAGAAATGACAGAATATTAGGGACATTAACATTCTTATCTTCCCCAAAAGGATTTATAAGGCTCAGCTCCTTGCCTCCAAAATGAGATACACAGTTCTCTCTAATGAGTTGTTGTGGAATGATAAGCGCACATTAAATGTCTAATAGGTGTTAACTAATCAACCAACTGGCAAGGAGCTAGAGAAGAAGAAAGTGAGGCAGGCTGTGATTGGGAAGATGAGCACTAGCACTCCTTGTCTACGAAGCATCTTTCCTATGGATAATGCCTTGCTGGAGGTCAGGGGGTTGAGGCAGAGTAACGGAGCATCAGGACTGTGTACCCCAGTTCTGAATGACCAGAGGATCCTTTGGAGGAGTGTTGTAGCCCCCATTTTACTGTGGAGGATGTTCAGAGTCTGAGCAGACATCCGACTTGATAGGACCAACCTAAAATGCAACAACTGTGACTGTGGATTCTCCACTGTCTGCCTTGGAGCCGAGAGGCACAATGAATCTGCAACACTGAGTGAGCTCCTGGCACATTCTTGGTACACATTTCTAATGAATAGGCCCCTCGGCTTAATTAAAGGCAAAAAGAGATTAATTGTATCTCCCAACAGCTGCAAATTATTTACATTGCATTTGTGTTGATGACTAATAAAAGAGCAAAGGAGTGTTGGGGACAGCCCAGGGTGGCTGTAATTCTTCCAAGGTCCATAAAGAAGCACCAGTTAGAATGCCAACGTGCGAGCATGGATGAGCCTGCAGGCTGTTTCCCACCCTCAGTGAGCAGAGCTGCTCGCTTCTTGGTCAGGATTCGATGAGTAGAAATGCGTCTCAGGGGCCGAGACCTGAGAATAGCAACTCAGAGGTCCTTGTCCTTCCCATCTGCCCCTTGCTTAGTTCATAATTGCTGTGGAATAGATGAGAAGGAGGCACCAGAGGGGACAGAGGGGCCAGATTGAGGCCCCCAGCAATCCCGAATGGCACCTACCTGACCTGGGGCCAAAGCCTTGGGATGGGTCCCAACCCATATGTCATCAGATCAAGTCTGATAGCTCAAGTCTGGCAGCTCTTGTTTTGCCTTAACTGTAGGAAATAAAGGGGTAAAAAACAAGTATGTACAGATCTACTAAAGAGTATACCTCATGCTGTGTATTTCATTTATATCACAATATAAGTGTGTGTATAGTATGTGTGTGTGTGTGTGTGTGTGTGTGTGTGTGCGCGCGTGTGCGTGTGGGGAGATCAAAAAATATAAAATGGTTTTACATTTTCCCAATTGTTACTTATAAGCCAGGTATCCATCTGGCTTTTAAAAGTCACACCTTGTGACAATGGTTTCTTCATCATTTTCCTAATTAGTGCATCTGCCTCTGTGGCTGCTGAGGAGCTGCTATTGTTTAGTTATGAGGCCTTTTTCGGAGGGGGAGGAGTGGGCAGGGGCATCTACCTGCTGTACTGACAATACAGCCTTTGAAACTGGATCAAGCCATGAGGATCAGCCATAGACATGTTGATTATTCTCGAGCTCCTGCTAACCTGCGCTCTTTCTAAAATCGCTGTTCTGCATTCGGGCTTCCACAAAGGCATGTGTGTGGGGTAGTGGGGGGGGGGGGGGGGTTGGAGGGTGAGGAGGTGGGAGGGGAATATAAGGACAAAACTAGGTTGTCTCTGTTGAGTGGTCATACCCATTCCTTCATAAGATCGCTCTTGAGGCCAGGGCACAGGGATGGTGGAGCAGGACAGGACTCCCATGGCCAGAGCCACAGCAGCTATCCCAACAGGAGACAGTCTCACCAGAACCAAAGCAGGGGCAGCCGTGGGGTCTTCACTAGAGAAGAGTCTCACCTGAGAATATTCCACTGTCTTATTTAATTATTCACCCTTAGTACCTGTTACCTAAAATAGGTAACTTGACTTCATGGACGGGGTTGCAGTGACAAAGAGTGGCATGGGATGGGGTGGGGGGGTTCATAGAACCACAGAAATGTGTCATCTCCTGGAAACAGAGACCAGCAGTAGGAAATCCCATGGTCAACCTCGCTCCTCTTCTGGTACTTCTTAGCTTATAGCAGTACAGCTCCAGCCTTGACATGGATTCCTACCTAATTACACATCTATTCCTGTGACAGATCCCCTTTTGGAGAACATCAGACATGTTGGATAGGACCCACCATAATGACCCATAGTAACTCTATGACAGCTATGAAGGTTCAATCTTTAAATAAAATCACATTCTGAGGAACCAGAGATGAACTCTCCAAATCCCTTTCTCCAGACAACCTGTTCAACTTGTAACACATGTTTCCATGTATTTTAAATTGATAGAGCATTCCTTAGACAACATTTCATTCCAATAATCAGAGGATTGAAGGCAACTTAAGGTGCAAGTTAGACTGTTGATAGATATAATAATTGTATCTCCACATACATGTTGATCTTATGCATGTATTATGTATGTAAAATGAAGTTCAGCACCTATTGCTGGATCAGCTTAGGCAGGGATCAGAAATCCCAGCACACAAAGCTAATCTCCTAGTTTGTTGACTGATAAGGGATTTTCTTGAAAACACCTATTAATAGGGTAGTATTTGTGAGTGAAGGCTTTTGGTCGATAGTTATTTCTATCTGCTCTGGGCAAGCAGAAATAGAAATAATAGGATTGTGGTAAGGTACAAAATTCATGATCATAATACTTAACACTATATTTGAATCTTAGCACTGCCCTTTCCTTTTGTTGGTGTTCCCCAAAAATCTGTTTCCCCCCTCCCATCTGAAAGTTCACTGGTGTCACATACAGGCCATAGGTATGGCTCAGAGCTCAGCACATGCCTAGAATGGACAGAGCTCTGAGTTCCCCTCTGGCATTTTATAATCCTAGTCAGTCCCCCCCCTTCTGCCCCCAAACACCAAACTCTAACTCTGAACCATCAGGACCACTCTTCTGGGCCAAACATCCCCAAGAATGACTGTGAGGGATCCCCAGCACCTTGGGAATGGGCCTGATAGAAGCATACTTAAAGTAGACTATAGACCAAACATGATGGCCGCTTACTACCTGTATTGCAAACCATAACAAGCCAAATGAGAGAGAGAGTAAAGGGGAATGTGCCTGCCACAGAGGCAGTGGGGGGTGGAGAGTGGCGGGAGGGATACTGGGAACATTGGTGGTGGAGAATGGGCACTGGTGGAAGGATGGGTACTCGATCATTGTATGACTGAAATGTAATCATGAAAGTTTGTAAGTCTGTAATGCAAGATACAGTTACCCTTTGCAGCTAACTGTATCTCATGGTGATTCATTAGCACTGCAATAGCACTATCTCTCCTTTGTTCATTGATTTGCTTGAGTGGGCACCAGTAACGTCTCCATTGTGAGGCTTGTTGTTACTGTTTTTGGCATATAAAATATATCACAGGTAGCTTGCCAGGCTTTTGCCGTGCAGGCTGGATACTCTCGGTAGCTTGCCGGGCTCTCCGAGAGGGCTGGAGGAATCGAACTCGGGTCAGCCTGGGTTGGCCATGTGCAAGGCAAACGCCCTACCCGCTGTGCTATTGCTCCAGCCCTGGTGATATATATATATATATATATATATATATATATATATATATATATATGTGATAGCACAGCGGGTAGGGCGTTTGCCTTGCATGCAGCCAACATGGCCGACCCAAGTTCGATTCCTCCGCCCCTCTCGGAGAGCCCGGCAAGCTACCGAGAGTATCTCGCCCGCACAGCAGAGCCTGGCAAGCTACCCGTGACGTATTCAATATGCCAAACACAGTAACAACTGTCACAATGTTACTGGGCCCGCTCGAGCAAATTGATGAACAATGGGAGGATAGTGATATATATATATACATATATATCAAATGGAATCAGCATATTCTGCAGCTTTCATGTTAAATGTGGTTGGGCAAATCTGGAGTAATAATATAATCTCTATGAATTAGTGATCCAAGTGACAGTCTGAAAAGTCACTTTTTAAAATTTTTTTTTTATTTTCCTTATCCTTCTCTAGTAAACAAGCACAAGCCCTGGATCGAGACTTCGTATCATGGAGTCATTACAGAAAACAATGACACAGTCATCCTGGACCCACCTCTGGTAGCCCTGGATAAAGATGCACCCGTTCCCTTTGCAGGTAAGCTGAGCGCTCCACGTGGCTGGGTTGGGCTGAGCTCATATTGGAGGTCTGTTGGGAAACCTTTGCAAACCCAGCGTCAGGCGTGGGTGCTGACACTCCTCTCTGTAGCTCATGAACCATTAGCCTGTGATTTCAAAGCTGCATACTGCTTCTGATTTCCTGGTGTGGATTCAGAGTGTCTCCAGGGTGTTTTCCTCTGGGTCTGTCTCTAATGCAAGATGTGTGCTTCTTATTCTTGTGAAAGATGTTCTTCTGTCAACATGATCCCTGCTGCTGGTAATGTTCCCTGGGGATTCATCCCTCTGGAGACATGACTAAGACACAAGAAAGTGTCACCTACTGTCCCCAATAGCTAACATCGAGGACAGGTGAAGACAGATGAATTGATAAGTTGATGAAAAAAAAGGAAAAGAAAGGACAAGGAAGTATTTACTATGGGTAGACTAAGGGTTTTGTTCTTGAAAGTCAGAAGGAACAGCTAATGTAAGAGGAATCCCAAGGTGGTGTCATGTTGCTCTCTGAAGCTTGTGCCTGAGGACCTGGTCATTGTCATCCATGTTGCCACCACTTACTTCCTCCTCTGTCCTCTCGTGGGGCCACAGAGGCAGGGGTAGCATGTGAAGAATAGGTTTGTGTTTTCATCAAAGGGAAGGGGAGGAGTCATGGCAGAGGGGAGAGGGGATTGGACAAAGGATTTCTGAAGGCGACTGCATCATGAGCAATATCGTTAACATTTCATAACTGTCAGGAGAAAGACGGGAAATTTAATGAAGGTTTTCAAGATTTCTAGAAGATTGCTTTATGATAGATGGGTGCCAGACTGAGGCTTTCCTCATGATGAAGTCTATTTTTTCTGACAGTTTGTCAGCTACATTATGAGCTACTTGGGCAGAAAAATTGGCTCTTTTCCACTTATAAGAGATAAGCCCTGTGAAGGCCCTTTTTTCATTACAGAACATTAAAAAGTAGGGAGTGAGGGGGTGAGTTGAATGGGGGAAATTCAGTGTTATGTAACACAGACCCGTAAGCTTTCTTGCAGTCCATGAGGGACTTACTCTTGATTCTCAGAAGAAGGTTTTCTCTTTATTTTATATTGAACTACAGCCACCCAGGAAGCCAGACCCGACTTCTGTTGTGCTTAGGTCATTTCCTGACATCTTAAGCCATCCAGAGAGTTCCAGATCAGCCAGTACCACTTGGATGTCAGCTTCCTTCCTTCTCCACAAAAGATAAGGCATGTTCCCCCAAGCCTTCTTGGCCAGTCTGGGAATACTCCAAATTAGCCCCTTTCTGGACATAGTTTGTATGGAGTAAATCAACCCATAGTTTTTAACATAAAGGTGGGAATGAAGTTTTTAAAAAAGCAAGCACTAGCAAGAATATTTGTATCATGGAAAAGTTGCACGTGTCATGTTCTGTGTGCTTTACTTAAAAGAGACAACATTTAGAAATGGGGAGATTGCCCATCGCCCTGGCAAGGTCCTGGTGCGTGTGTGGTTGATCAGTTCTGCTGGCTGGGTCCAGCTGCTCCACTCCTTTTGACTTTTAAAATTTTACTTACTTATTTATTTTCAATTAGCTATTTCTTTTTAAAATATTATTTTTTTAAATTTTATTGAATCACTGTAAGAGAGACCCTTACAAAGCTGTTCTTGATTGGGTTTCAGACCATACAATGTTCCAACACCCATCCCTCCACCAGTGTAATTTCCCAGAACCAATCCACTCTTTTTGAGTGAGAACCTGCATCCCACTGTCCTCTCCCCACCCTCTTGCTGCCTGAGCACAGAGGTCCTTACTCCCCAAAAGGTCCTTTGCTGTTTTCTGTGAGTGGGCGACCCCTTTTCAAATGAGAACAGAGAAAAGCAATGACTTATTAAATGGGCCGTTAAGTGGATTCCATGCCATTCAGTCATTTCAGTGTAGTGCGATTAATGCTTTACAAGATAAGGGATGTGTCTGATTATTCATCGTAGCTGCCCTTCATGATGCTCTGTTGTCATCTGACAGTAAATGAGGAAACTGAGGTTATTGAATAAGCCATTATATCCTATAGTTATGAGCCCTGTAATCTACCGACCACCTACCGACCAACACATAGAAATGAAACAGCATTTCCGGTAAATGTGATATCCGTACGCTTTATTTTCCAAGACATGACTTAACTTTGGCAGTTGTAAGGCGGAAGGACAATTCATCATCACACCTGAAGATTCTCCTGGGGGATTCCTTTCTATCAAACATGTGTTGAATATTCTTAACCACAATTTGTATTCTGATCATTAAAGGTGCTTGCGGATTTCCAGGCACATCTTGAAATTAAGGTTTGCTTTGAAGGCAAGTCCTGAGTGGTGATTTCAACAAAAGACAATGTTCGTGCTTCCCCTAGTATTGGCAGTTGTGCTAACACACACACACACACACACACACACACACACACACACACGCACACACGCACACACGCACACACGCACCCTCCTTAATGCATCAAAATATAATCTTCCAGGCTTTTAGGAGTAAAAAATAAAGGTTCTCTTTAGAATGGTCAAAGCTATTTTTCTCGATGTTATTTACGATCTCCTCTCAGACAGGACGCTGCCACTTGCCATCCATCCATGCTGCAGGCATTTATTCTAAAACATTTATCTTAAAAAGAAAATACTGAAGATTTATTTCCGATCTCTATCATTCTCATAAAATTGGAAATTTCATATCTGCTGGCTCCATCCCTTCTTGAAGTCAACTGAAGCTTTTAGTCCCCCTTATCAACTGCTCTTGTGGCGTGTCTGTTTCCAGGAGAAGTTTTTTTCCAGCTGCCTTTACCTCCAGCCCAGCCTGGGAGGTGAGCTGTCATCTCTTGGGAACTGTCCCATCATATCTTCTTTGCTCTATCTGGTTTTTCCTCAGGGTCCTCCTTCCCCCACTTAAGGCATTTTATTTAAGAAAAGTTTCCTGTGTAAAATATTATCCACTAACTAAAAAATCATGATTGCATTTTGCTTAGTAATGCAAGATTCAGGCGCATAAAATCACTTTTCGAGTACCTCTGATTGTGGCAAGGATCATCATTCAAATATGATGATAATCAATCAATTATGACAATAAACAATCAAGTTATTACAGAAAATGAGACAAATAGGGCAAAACACTTGCAAGGAAATATGGAGAATGTCTGTTCTTGTCCCCAGAGCTTCTGTTAGCATAATCTTAAGCTTATTTTCCTCCTGTTGTCTATCTAGTTTCCCTCCAAATTATATCCCATCTCATTTTCTGCACTAAAATAAGGAAAGATGTTTTATTAACTATTCTTCTAACGCTGATTAAGTGGCTTTCTGATTTTCTTTTTTTTTTTATTGAATCACTGAGATACAGCTACAAAACTTTCATGTTTGAGTTTCAATCATACAATGATCAAACACCCATTCCTCCACCAGTGCACATTTTCCACCACCAATGTCCCCAGTATCCCCCCTCATCCCACCCCTCCCCCTGCCTCTATGGCAGACAGCCTCCCCCATACTCTCTTTTGTATTGCTTGTTATGCATAGTATAAGATGTTGCGTGGCCACGTGCTCCCGGAATTCTAAAATTTTAGATAATTCGAGTCTGGAGAGATCTCTGCAGTGAGCTTCTTGGTTCTGAGATTCTTTTGTGTTTCCCTGGATCCTGGCAGGTAAGGAGCTTAAATAGCAGCCGGAGGCAGTTTGTGGAGTGACCTCCAGGTCTCTTAGGGAAGAGGAGATAAGAAGGACAGACTCATCCTCTACCCCTTGAGGCCTGGAATTTGCCATCACTGAACCCATGTGTACCTGCACTTTTCATTGGATTCTGAAAGTTGGTGGGGTTCTTAGGAAGCAGGTGGAGGGATGACACCTGCCCCCGTCTGAGGCACCCCTGTGAAATCGGCCTGGCTTAAAGTCCGAAGGCATCTCTGCAGTGAGCTGCTTGGGTCCGAGATTCTTTTGTGTGTCTCTGGATCATGGCAGTTAAGAAGCTTAACTAGTCGGCTCTCTGATTTTCTACTTAATTAATCTTTTCTATTCCTACCTCTTCTTTTTGCTAGCTTTATTGAGATACAGCTGACATATGACATGGTATAAGTTGACAGTGCATAATGTGTTGATCTGATAATTTATATATTGTGAAACAGTTATCACACCACCTTTACTGACATTTTCATCAGTTCACAGAATTACCATATTTTTTTTTGTAGCGAGAACTTCCAAAATTAGCTTTTGGCAGCTTTCAAGCATATAATATTGATCAATAATCATAATCATTATACTGTGCTTTATTACCCCAAATTATATTTATCTTAGAAATGCAAGTTTGTTTCCTTTGAGTGCCGTATCCCCGTTTTCCTCACCCCTTAGCCCCAGTAACCATCATCCTCCTATCTATGAGTTCAGCATGTTTATATTCCACATATAAGCATTATTATGTCGCATTTACCTTTGAATTAACATAGAATAATTAAGATTCATTTAATGCTGTTAAAAGGTGAGCACTCCTTTCTTGATATATGTGTGTACATACATATATATTCTCTATCCATTTATCCACTGACATATATTTGGTTTATTTCCATATAGGTTCATGTATATTGTACATATGCATATATCTGCGTATATATTATATATTCTCTATTATTTATTCATTGACAGATACTTAGACTGTTTCCACATACATGAATATGTATACACACATATATATGAACACATGTACATGTATATTATATATATTATGTGTTATATGGGCTGGAGCGATAGCACAGCGGTAGGGCGTTTGCCTTGCATGCAGCCAACATGGCCGACCCGAGTTCGAGCCTGGCAAGCTACCCATGGTGTATTCGATATGTCAAACACAGTAACAACAAAGTCTCCAATGGAGGTGTTACTGGAGGCGTTACTGGGCCTGCTCGAGCAAATCAATGAACAACAGGAGGACAGTGACAGTGACTATGTGTTATATATCATATATATGTTCATTTATCTATT